ATAAACCTTCTTAATGAAAAAATCACTGAGCTCCTTTGAGAGGACTTCCTGGTCATCCAGGCCCACGTGGCAGGAGCTCCCAGAGAGTCTTGTTACCACGCTTTGCAACCAAAGTCTCCCATATCTGGGATGTCTGGTCAGCTGCAGGCTGACCCTGGTGGTGGAACCCTACCCCTACAAGCTGAAATAACATTTCGAACCATGAATTTATTTGTCAGCAATATTTCATTTTTTATTTTATTTTATTTTATTTTATGCCTACAGCACCTGGTCTTCCTAGGTGGTCTCCTATCCAAGTACTAACCAGATCTGACCCTGCTTAGCTTCCCAGATCAGATGGGATCGGGCGTGTTCGGGCTGTAGACTTGTCAGCAATATTTGAAAGGCACATCTATCTGAGGACTATTTTGAGATGACCATACATGGGTGTCAAGAGTCAAGAGAGTCTCATGATTTAGCTATCAGGAATGATCACCTCTATGGATACAGAATAACCTTGACCATGAGCATGAGCTATAGATTAAACATGGTGCCTTCAGATTTATTGGACAAACCTGAAGAACCCAGGACAATGAAAGGTGTGTATGGCACCCCTCTACCTGCACCAGTGATTCCTCTTCTGCCCCTAATTAATATCCACATCCTTGTGGTTTCTGCAGCTCAAATTGAGCTCCAGGAAGTGGGCAGGATTGAGGTGGAAAAGGGTAAGAAGTAGCAAAATGGAAGACGGATGTCAGTTGTCCAAAAAGAGAAAGTATTTGCCTCCTGGACAGTAAATAATGGAAGCATCATAAATGATAAGCTAAGAGGTCAAAAGGGTCAGTGAAATGAGTGAGGGCTCGTGAGGGTGGGGGCGGGGGAATGGCAATGGGAATCCTCCAGCCTGAGCATCTTCAGGGACAAGCCAAAAATGCAAACGGGGTGAACTGCCAGATTTAGAAAGGGCTGGAAGCAATACTGAACAGAGGCCTCACCTTTGTTGTGACCCTCCCAGAAACAGTTCTGTTTTAGAGCCCCCGCTTTTTGGCGATACCCTGAGAACTACAAACCTGTGCTGCTATTAGTGACACTGCCGGGGTTCTCCACAAAATGCAAAAATATTTTTTTTAATTAAACAAATTTTTTAATTTAAATTTTTATTTAAAATTTGTAAATATTTTGAAATCGTAAAAGGTTAAGCCCAAGAGGGAGGGCTTGAAAATACGAATGAACGTTCCAAATGAGCAATACCCTAGACTGTGGGAACAAGGCAGACAATCGTGCAAGGTGATCTGTACACATGTCGACATTAACCAGGGCCTCTCCTGACTCTCTCTGATGGAGAAAACTACGATTTTTAAAAAGGTAATACTTAGAAATGATAAAGCACTTTCCCAACTGTTAGCTCATCCGATCCCCCAAAATAATCCTATGACATAAGCTCGGGCGCTATTCTTGTCCCCGTTTTACAGACAATGAAATGAGATTTGGTGGAACAAAGCAAAATACTCAAAGTCACACAGCCAGTATACAGCTGTGACTTGTCGGAGCCCAAACCCTCTGGTCCATTCTCACTCCTACACCAGGCATTGAGACTCATGTATAACAAATACACTAATTTAATGCAGTTATTACTTAATGAATTAATTCAACGTACATATTTCAAATGCCTGTTAGGAGCCAGACCGAGGGCAAACCTCTGCTCTCAACGAGCTTGCAGTCTAATGGAGAAACAGATATGTAAACAGACAAATCAGTGGATGACAAGTTCTGCAAGAACATACATACAGCATGAAATGGAATCACAGAAAAGGACACCTAAGTGGGCCCAGTAAATTAGACTGCATTGTCCAAAAGAATGGTGGTCAGCCACATGGAGTCTTTAAAAAGGAATCAATAGGTAGTTTCTAAATAGGGTGTTTTCCTCCAGTATTTTCCAGCTCTGATTCGGATGGCCAGTACTAGTTATTAAGAAAGAAAAAATACTTCTAGTATAGAGAAAAGCAATTCATCCAGCTTATCCATGCTATTTTCATATAACCTGGTAGACATATCCAACCTCTTCTGCTTGAATGCTGAGCTGACCAAACAACCTTTCAAACTATATCTAGGAACACTGGGTTGACCCATTCCAGCAAGAGGAAATAAATACTCACTATAAATAACCTGTTGCTATTTATCCTGCCAAGGTCCTCTTTTTGCTGTGAATAGATGTTCTAGTGTAGAAGGCAGCTGTGGGAAAGTTATCATGAATCAATTCTCTATACCAGTGCCATCCATGGAATGGAACTTTCCATGATTATATTTAATATATGGTCAGTTATATGTGGTTATCGAAGAGTTCAGAAGGGGCCTAGGAAACTAAGGAAGTGATTTATAATGTTATCTAATTTTAATTAAATAGCCATATGGAGTTAGTGGCTCATGATTCAGACAGCACAGCTCCAGACCTTTGCTATTCAAAGTGTGGCCCGTGGACCTTTAGTGTCTGCATCACATTAGCGTGTTAGAAATGCAGGATCTCAGGCCCCACCCTAGACCTACTGATTCAGAACTCTCGCGTTAACAAGATCCCCATGTGATCTGTATGCACATTAAATTTTGAAAATAGCGTGGTTACTTTTGGATAAGCTGGAAAAAAAAAGGTGGGAGAGCGATTGCGGGCCATATCTGTGGTGACCTCACCAAACTGCAGACACCTACACTTGAGACTGATGTCCAGCATAAGGGGCTTTCTTTTTTTCTCTGTATCTGTCTCTCTTCCAATCCTTAAACCCGGCAGAAAGGACAGGGAAGGGAGAGAAAGAGAGAGCCTGGACCACTGGGTCTAAGGAAAGTTAGCATAAGATATGGGGATGAGGGGAATGAGGTAGAAAGGACATGTGTTTTTCAGGGACACTTTACAAAATAAAATGATGGAATTTCCTTGATAATTATTGGATATGAATGATGGACATATGAGAATTCGCTGTATCATTTCCTCTACTTTTTGTGTGTGTTTGAAATTTTTCGAAACTAAAAAATGGGGATGTGATTTCAGGGATGATGTGTGTGATAGCTGGCCTCCAAAGTGGCCCCACCGTGATCCTTTGTGTAATCTCTTTCTATATTGAATCAGAGCTGGTCCCTGTGACCTAAGCGAAGGTGACAGGTGTGACCTTGGAGAACTAGGTCACTGTGACTTTTGCCTTGCTCTTAGATCTCTTGCTTTGAGGGAAGTCAGCTACCATGCTGTGCGGACACTCAAGCAGTCTTATGGTGAGGTCTTTAAGGAAAGGAGCCAAGGCCTCCTGCCAACGCCAGCCACATGAGTGAGCCACATGAGTGAGACTTTGTGGAAGTTGATTCTCCTGCCCCAGTCAAGCCTTCCAGTGACTGTGGCTCCATCTGATATATGACTGCAACTTCATGAGCGACCTCCACGCTAGAACTGCCGGCCAAAGTACTCCTGAATCTCTGACCAAAGAAACTGTGAAAGATAATAAATGTATATTGTATTAAGCCACAGAGCTCGGGGGTAATTTGTTATGCAGCAATAGAGAACTGATGCGATGTCATTTCGGGATTCCCCACTCCCCGATACCCTCTCCACCTTATATTACCGATGCCCAGAATGAACAGGATAAAGACCCATGCATATGGTTAACATGCTAATACCCCTTGAAGAGATAATGCACTCACTTAAATTCATGGCAAAACGTGACAGATATAAATTCTTTTTAAAACTTTAGCAGGCTAATGTATTGAGACATTAATGTCAGTCTTGCTCTTGCTGTTGTAAGAAACTAGAAAGAATAAAAAGATAATTTCTCCCTCAGGGTCTTACATCTCCCTTGCCCCATGACCAACCCCCAACAACACATACTGTGAATAGCTACTTGGTGTTTCAAGGGCCACCCTAAAGAAAACCCCCACCCCTTCATCTTGGGGATTAAGTAATAGAGAAACTATGCTAGAATTGCTCCAGAAGGGGAGGGGAAAGAACTGGCACTGGTTCAGGGAGAGAGCAAGTGGCCAGGCCCAAGAGATGAATGACTTCCTCAGGCTGCAAAAGGTTTTGAAGTTTCCTGGATTTAAATTTTGTTCCTGGCTTATATGCAACGTGTGTGTGTGTGTGTGTGTGTGTGTGCGCGCGCGCGCGTGCGTGTGCGTGCGTGTGCGTGTGTGGTGTGTGTGTGTGTGTGTGTGTGTGTGTGTGTGTAGGGTGGAGTGGGGATTACTGAATGGAGTGTCTGACGAAGCGAGTTCCCGGGGCCCTGGGCATGCACCAAAGACCACGATACGCACTCCCTCCCTCCGCCCCCTACTCCTGCCTATCTGGCTTGCAGACCGTGGAGCTGTACTCTTCACTGGTACCCCAAAGGTGGTGGAATAACGGCATCAAGACTGAAAAATTTTAAAGCCCCTCCTTAAAATTTTGGGACTTAACAGCCCTAGAGAGAGGAGAGGAGAGGAGAAACCTCTGAAGGTGACTAATACATTTCCCGCCAACATTGACAGGCGGGAGCTAAACCAGGTTTCATTAATTTGTAAAATTAAAAGACATGTGACGCTTCTTGCCCCGGAGTCAGTTGGAGCGAAATCACTTCAGTTAGAGCTACTTTCCCTGAAAGCAGTTTTGGTAGGTAGAAGGGGGAAGGCAGATAAAGGAGCCGGAAGATGGAATAGAGTTAAGGGGCCAGCGCCCCCTTCCTGACACCAGGTTCCGACCCCCGAAATGTTCGGAGGGAGACCGGCCCCGCGCGCGGCCGCGGGTCCCGCTCCGACACAACAACA